ACATAAAAACAACAACAATAAATAAAGAAAATAGAATAGAATAAAATGATTATACATAAAAACCAACAACAATAAAAAAGGAAAATAGAATAAAATAAAATAATTGTACATAGAAAACAACAACAATAAATAAGGAAAATAGAATAGAATAAAATAATCATACATAAAAAAACAACAACAAAAATCAATAAAGAAAGTAGAATAGATTAATTATACATAAAAAAAAACAATAATAACAACAACAATAGCAAATAAAGAAAATAGAATAAAAGAAAATAATTATACATAAAAAGACAACAACAATAATGGAATAGAATAAAATAATTATACATAAATAAAAGTAAATAAAATTAAAAGTAAATAAAAATAAAAGAAAATAAAAGTAAAAGTAAATAAAAATAAAAGTAAATAAAAGCAAATAAAATAAAAGGTAAATAAAAATAAAAGTAAATAAAATAAAATAAACTAAAAGGTAAATAAAAATTAAATAAAAGACCCCCCCAAAAGAAATAAAAAAAAAAAAAAAATCCAATTCACAGGCACCGGGACCCTCCTGCTCGCCCGCCAATTCTCACCCGGACGAGGATCCCCACGTCCGCCATCTTGGAAAGGCGAGAGAGAGACGCGACTTCTTATTTGAGGAAAAAAGTCCAATTTCTCTCACTATGAACGCGTTACAGTCTTATTCGAGTGATGATGAATCGGGTGGGGAAGTGCCGGAAAGGAAGGTAAGGCGGGAGAGGTGGATAAAGAAGGGGAAAGGGGGTAAAAAGGAGATAAAAAGGGGATAGTGCAGATAACTATTAAAAAAAAATAAATAAAAATTTGATGGTGTCTTTTTCTCTCTTCTTTTCTCCTTTTTTTCCACTCTCTTCTCTTCTCTTTCTTCCTAAAGGTCTTTGTCAAGTGAATAAAAAGTCGAGGAAAGAAATGATAGAATATTAAAAAAGAAAAAAAAAGAAAACGAGATTATTGACTTTTTTTCTCTCTCTCTTTCTTTTTCCCCTTTTTAATTTTTTCTGGCCTTTTATCGCCAGAATATTGTTTATTTTCGGCGTTTCTCCTCTTTCTCTTTCTCTCTCCTTCTTTCTTCTTTCTCTTTTCTTCTCTTTCTCTCTTCTTTCTTCTTCCTCTTCTTTCTCTCTTTCTCTCTTTTCTTTCTTCTTTCTCTATCTTTCTCTCTTTCTCTTCTTTCTCTTCTTTCTTCTTTCTCTTTTCTTCTCTTCTTTCTCTTCTCTTCTTTCTTCTTTCTTCTTTCTCTTTTCTTCTCTTCTTTCTCTCTCTTCTTTCTTCTTTCTCTTCTCTTCTCTCCTTTCATCTTTCTTCTTTCTCTTTTCTTCTCTTCTTTCTTCTTTCTCTTTTCTTCTCTTCTTTCTTCTTTCTCTTTTCTTCTCTTCTTTCTTCTTTCTCTTTCTCTATCTTCTTTCTTCTTTCTCTTCTCTTCTTTCTCTTTTTCTCTATATAGTGTCACAGTCGCGTTTCTTGTATTCGCGTTGTACTTAATTAATTCCTCTTTATTATATTCCATAAATATTTGTATATTACTCTTAGTCCATAAATAGAGAGTAATTGTGATGCGTATAATTAATTAGATTTAATTAGATATTGATTAGATTGATTAAATTAGGTTAGATTTAATTAGATATTGATTAGATTGATCATTTAATGAGATATTGTTTTTTAAAGTCACAGTCACAGCTGAAGTTATACGTGCATGATAGTCACAACACTTGCGCAATTTTGCCGTTTATGTGCGCACTCCGATCGTAGTGTTACTTTATCCTTGCTCAAAATCGTAATTTCGATGAGCAATGGAAAGGTCATATATTAACCCATTGCCGCCGGGGAAAATGAACAAAAAATGGGGGAAATGCAGTACTCATTTTTTTATATTTTTGTGAAATATCTCTGTCCATAGATGGCTCTGATAGTCCTGATTTCACCTTTCCTTGAATTGGCGGGAAAAAAACGTATTCTCACTAGTGCTATAAATATAGATGGCGTTATTTTTAACAGCAAATTAGGATAACGTTAAATATTTTCGTAAATCGATGAAAAGGGTGAACGGGCGAGAGAGGCAGTACTCGTAATTGGCTCACTGGATACTTAGTACAAGTGTAGCCATCTATGTGTAAAAATAATCGAACAAGTCGACTCACAGTGGGCATGGCATGTACGTACATGCCATCCCCGGCGGCAATGGGTTAAGAGTGATATACTCCCTAGTGTTTTAATCGTTGATGTTTAAACAAACTTCCAGCACCTCCTCTTTCCTCCCCCCATTCCTCAACCTCCTAGTCCTCCTCCTCCTCCAGTTCCTCTTCCTCTTCCCTTTCCTCCTCCTCTTCCTCCCTTTCCTCCCCCTCTTCCTCCCTTTCCTTCTCCTTTTCCTCTTCCCTTTCCTCCTCTTCTTCTTCCTCTTTCTCTTCCTCTTCTTCTTCCTCTTTCTCTTCCTCTTCTTCTTCCTCTTTCTCTTCCTCTTCTTCCTCCACTTCCTCCT